ATGATGATGATGATGATGATGATGATGATGATGATGATGATGATGATGATGATGATGATGATGATGATGGGTCAAACAGCCACAATAGCAACGACGGCGAAACAAAAACTATAGAAGAATAACAAGTGCAAAAATTTCAAAAAACATCTATAACACCAACACCACCACCACCAGCTACAACAGAAAGACTCTACGGTACCTGGAACTCCTTGTCCAGCCTATAACGTTTAGCATCCCCGCTTTGGGCGTAGTGTATATGGTATGCAGCACTGAGTGTCTCGGCAGGGTACACAGTGACACCACACTGAAGGAACATAGCCACAGCCTCGTAGACCTGCTGGTACTGGTTCTGGGGACAGCGGAAGAATGGAGAATGTTTGTAGATCAATGCGTAAGTGGTAAATAACAAATAGATATGAGTTAAATGATGAATGTATAAAATAAGATAGCGCTTGAGCCAGATCCGGCCCGCAAGCAGTTTTCAGTCTGGCCGGCAAGTCAGCCCAGTTCATTAATAATGGATGCCACCCGTAGTGAGTTGATAAAGTTTAAAGTAAAGTTGTTCTCGCATCCCATCCGGACATAGGGATTGCCTTGTTAGTGAGACAACTTCCTGGGCCTTCGGCATAGTGTGGTAAGGTGGCCAGTTCCTTTACACCCCGCCTTTACTTCCCCAACTCGAAGACAGGTACCCATTACTGCTGGGTGGGCAGGAGGGGTCGAATAAAATCCCTGTCCGAACCGAGGCTCGAACCCGGACTTTCCGATTCGGAGACGAGCGCACTAACCGCTCCGCCACCGCACCCTCTAGTGAGTTGATAAAAAGGTTAATTGAACAAAAACGGACTTGTTTGTCTTGAAAACTAAACGCAACAGTTTCCAGCTGAGGCTACATCAACATATCAAATATTTTATCTCATGAAAATTAATGTGCTTACGTGGCAAATGCTGTAATGTCAGTTTCAATCTCACTTTTGAGAGCTTGGGTAGTTCAATTAGTTTTACCCAATTTTCTCCAGCTTAACCTAGCTAGATTTTCGGATTTACTTATTCCGGCTCGCAACTTGGACACGCTTGCCTTTGTTTTGTTCTCTGTTTGTTGGGGTGTTTTTTTTGTTTGTTGC